AAAACAGATGTCATCTCAAGGCACTTTACAGAGACAATTCAACCAGATCATACAGTCAAATTGATTCAAAGTTTTCTATTTAAGGAAAACCAGTTGATTGCATCGACTCACTGACTCGAAGGCAAACCCCACACCAACCATGCTTGTAGCGACAGTGGAGAGGAAAAACTCCCTTTTAACAGAGAGAAACCTCCAGCAGAACCAGTCTCAGTGTGAGCGGCCATCTGCCGAGGCCGACTGGAGTTCAAGGAGAGAGAAGCAGACATAGAATGGGACTTGTTGATTATATCCAGTAGGCTGGTCTATATCTTCTCCATTAGAGGCATCAGCTAAACATGAATGCATTCGCTGATCCACTTACGCTTTCAGCAGCCATTGCTTGATGTCCCTTAGAATGTATGTATCCATCCATTTAATGCTTTGTTCATTTGTTTGTTTAAATTGAGACCTGTGCCTCAAGAATCTGCCCTAAAAAAGAAAAAAGGAAATCAACAGCATGTCATAATTGCTATTGGCCTTAAAAAAAAACTGTGTCTGTAAATCTGCATTCCCCATATGTGGAACTGGTCTCCCAGTTTGGTTCCCTGGACACCCAAACCCTTAAACCACTTTTAACCCGTGCTGACAGAGAGATGCCACTTATATTGCTTCTCATTCCTTCATAAATTTCTGCCTTTAACTAGAGATGTTATTTTATCAACAGAAACAACAGCTCTGTTTACAACACCAGACATCAACTCACGGCATACACTTAAGCAAAACATGTTGCTAAATAGTAAAAGAAAATAAATTAAAAGTGGCTTCCTGTAGGAAATGATGCAGCGGTCTCTGTACTCTGCTACCTTCTTGTGCTGCTGCTTGGAAACATACGATCTACGGCAAACGGACAGCAAAAACCTGTCGACTTATTCAAGAGAAATTCAGGCCAATGCAAAGAGAGGGGTCGGATCGATCAAAGTCAAACAAAAGTAAATGCTAACATCTATTTGCCAAACAGTATATTTTCCATTCAATGATTTTCCTGTGCTATCAAACCTTAAAACTGATATTAAATTTGTCTGAATTTGATTTTCTTTAAAAAGAAGCTGCATCGAAATGGTGCACAATCTATATGAGACATCTCTGTTTACAGAGAAAAGCTGTATGATTCCACAGCACCTGGCTGCTGCAAAGAAAAAGGAACAAAACTGGTCGATTTGTTTTTAAAAAAGGTTTATCACAATAAAAGAAATCTGAATGCAGGAGGGAGAATGCCGCTATTTGCTCCAAAAGATACAGGATGCATCGACTTTGTCTGCAGCAGGTGGTAAGTACAAACAGGGAAATCTGATGACATTACACTCACCAGGTATTGATTTACACTTTTGAGACAAATACTGAGCCCTGAATGGTCTGTTGTTCCAAGTTTGATTGTATATGTCTGGGAATAAATGAATCCTACTTTCTGAAACAATTTAGGGAACTGAATCCACTCTGCTAAACTACTGAGGCGATAAAGTTAGAATAAAATAAAAGAATTAAAATGATTGCTGTTAAATGTTGTGATAAAACAAGCATCTCAAAGCCTACTATTTCCACCAAAGGACCTGAAGCTCAAGAACCAGAATCCCGCTGTTTTTTTAATGTTTCAAGGTTTAATCTGCCCTCCTCACTGCAGGCTTCTCCATCAACTGCCGAGATTATCATCTCAACAAATTATCAGATGACTGTCATAGTCAGCATTGTCACATTAGAGGATGACTCCGATAACGGCCAGCTGACAGAGGATTTTAGTGGACTGGTCAGTGTTGTGCACGAACACGTTCAATGACAGCGTTCACTGAATACGTTGATAGTTTTAGTGAATGGCGAACTGAACTGATCTGTTTTGAGGTAATGAATGTGAACTAGAGCGACGAGAAGAATGAGAGACACACAGCCTATGTTTGCCTTCAATTGATAACGACACCTTTCATTGGATAACGTCAGGTTTTATGACACTTATAGCAAACAACATGATAGACCAGCATGTCCACTGCTAGTACTGGTCTGTGCGATTCAGACTCATCTGCTGATATTTCTGATGCCAGGTTTGCAGAGCACTTGGCAGAGTTTTAGACTCAGAAAAGAAAAACTTGCGTTTTTGTGCAAACTGGGCCAACCAGGACTTAACAAACAAGTTTGTATATCTGCCACGTCCACTTCAAATTTAAAGCGAGACGTCGCGTTAAAGCATCCGAGCTATCTTGGGAAATATCTGCTACTGAATGAGGAACGGAAGAAATTATTTTTGATGCATATCTTTTTAGCAGAACCTGAACGTTCCTGTATATTTCTGAAGTTCTGTGTAATTTAGCTAAATAAAGGATTCACTGCACATACTGCACAGTTCATTTTAATCCTTGTGAACTGAGCTCATTCTTTTTAATCATCAACTGGCACTACATTGGAACTGCTGCCGGTGGAACCAGAGCTACTGGTTTATTTCTTGCCTCAACAGCAGCGGTAAACAGCCAAGGAGCTGGCTTGAACTTCCTGTAAATAAAATAGTTCTTTATAGGAAGGGTCAGAGAATCCCAGATGCACAAAGAAGCATAATTGCAGATCCTTCCTCTAAGCAGGGGTTAGACTTCATAAGGATCACTGCTTCCAACAAAATGAATAACTGTTCTTCCAATTATGTATGAAAGTTTTGAACATTTTTTAAATCCCTCTGCTAAGCTGCTTTTCTTTACAATAAAACATATTCTTTTGGTTGTAAATTCCTTGTTATTTTTCATCTTTGTGTTAATCTGAATGTGTCATGTTGTTGCCATTACTGTTGAAGACCCCCACTGTGGAACAATAAAGAATATTTCTATTCTATTCGATCTAATCATGCAGGAGGGTCGGCCTTAAGAAAGCGACTCAATCAAAACAGGAATCAGCACCAGAAAAATGGGAATCAGTATAAATCAGATACATTTCATAAGTAAGATCCCAGAGGAGAGTAAACAGTAACCTGAGTGATGCTAAAACCACAGAAAACGACGCAGAAGCAAACAGCATCTGGGTTGTAACAACACAGGTATTCATACCATCATTTTTCCATTTGGGTAATTCACAACGAAAGGCTGAAATATTTTCCTTCTTCGCTCTTAAAAATCAGGGTCAGTCGGTGCCGTTTCACACACAGAGGGCTAATAATAGAAACAGCTTTTAAAAGACAAAGAATCCATTCAGCCCACATATTCTTCACAAGGGGTACCAACATGTTGGAGAAGTTGCCTTATGTATGAACGGCTCTCCCACTCAGAGCAGGAATCAAGCTCAAAATGTGCATTTTGGGCTCAGTGGGTTTTAGTGTGGAGGAGAGAAAAAAAAAACAGACAGCCAAAACATGATGCTGGTGAGAGGCGAGCTATTTATAGGCTTACTCCAGTGCTGGAGACAGCTCTTCCCTTATGTTTGGGATCAGCGCTTCACATGAGTGAGAGGAGGAAGGAGGAGGAGGTTGGTTCCTAAAGCTGAGGCCTTGTCCTCCTTTGGTTATGTCCTTAGAACCAAGTGGGTCTCTCCTGAACAACTTCCAGCACTTCTCCACAGAAGGCCACAAGAACTGATCTTATATACAGAACACACTTCTGCTCTCAAAGGTAGACTGGTGGTCCTCATAAATATGCAAAAAGCTGTTGATGCTTGGCTGTAGTTTTCTGTTATGAGAGTGTTTGACAATTGTAAGGATGCAAAACACCCAGAGAAAACCCCCCTCAGCAGGGAGACAGCGAGTCAATCAAAGTCACACAACTTGCTTGGAAAAACACTTTTTATACAAAATGAAATTATTGTACTGGGAGCTGAATGTTGACGGTGGAAACAGCAAAATGTGTAAGAGTTCTTATGTCTTTTTTCTCTTCACATTTCATTTTATATTAATAATAAATATTGTTTTTATTCAGTTTTTTAATTCATAAGTTATTCCTTTGAATAAAAATAACCATAATGATACCGTATGTCGGCTGTGAGAGAACGGGAAGATGGAACATGTTTTTTTTTTATGGGAAACAGAGAATCCTGAGGGTGAAAACACGACGTTCATAGTGAAACATGGCAGGGGCAGCGTCATGCTGGGGGGCTGCTTTTATTCAATAGGGATTGAACAGCTGGTCAAGGTTGATTCTTAAAAAGTCATCATTAAAGAAAACCTTTGGGGATAAAAAAGTACCTGAAAAGTTTTGCCTTTTCAGGCATCAAGGTGCAGATCTGCAGGCCACACAGGGTTACCTTACAGAGTTACAGGCAGGAAAACAACATTTATAAACAAACTTAAACTTTGTTTTTGCTAAACTGCTGAGACAAACTAAGCAACACAGACCGTCATGATCTGGGGATGCTTTGGTCAAATGTTAATTCGGAGATTCCTAAATAATTAATTGATCATATAGAGAGTATAGCTTTCATAACACAATGTGACCGATCGTCAAGCTGAAACTAATAATAGCTGAGATATCAGAAAAACAAAAAAACACTCATACTAAAAGTATACCACATGTATTATTAATTATAACTGTATTTTTTTTTATCCCGCCTCATGATGCTGCCACCACCATGCTTCTCCATGGTGCAGTTTTATTTTTAATGATAACTTTGCTTACTTTGAAACATCTTTTAGATCTATTAAACCTAGAAATTTGATTCAGTCACTCTTCTTTATGATTGTAAATATGTTCCAAAGCAAAAACTTAAGAAAGCAGTGAAACATTAAAATGGAAAGGCTGTTTTAAGATTTAAAGTTCAATTATAGATGCTGTATAGCTGCTGAAATGTTGCACCCATTTGCCCGGGACACAGAGGACATGCGTCCTAGTAAAGTGGGTCTGGAGACGCCTATTTTTGTAGGTGATACTATAACGGTACCAGTCGTGACCAGATGAGACGTTACTTAACAGACCGTGAATAAAGCGTGGACTGCGTGGGAGGAAAAGAAGCGTTTAGTGTGCGCAAACGCCACAGACAGAGCGTGTTTATCAACAGAGACTCACATCTTCGAACAGAGATCCAACGTTGGCTGTCACCAGCAGTATCCCTGCGTCCTGCGCGGCTGTCAGTTTCCCTGCCATGGCTCTCCGGCTGCTGGAGGCTCGGTTTTCTGACGGCGGACTCTGCAGGCTTAGAGGCTTTGGAACCGAACCGGGTGATGGGCCGACGGGAAAGTGGTTAAAAGACGGGGAATCTGCGCTTGAAGCCGGGGTTCTTGGTGCTGCTGCAGAGGCTGGGCTGGAGCATATTTTTTTTCCTCAGCAGTGTTCGTGCATCTAAGCAGGAGTTGTTGCTTTGCAGCGAGAGAGGCTCCGTTTTCTGCGGCGGATGCTTCTCGCGCTACTTTTCCACGCTCAGTGCCATCGTGAAAAAGTTTCCCGTTGTAATCCACGGTGTGCGCTTGAAAGGCTTCAGCGGGGAAGGCTTTCCAACCTTTTGAGCTGTGTAAAACTCCCCCTCCTGAAGCTGGACGCTGTGCCAGGACCGTAGCCTTCACCGTCAGCTGAGGATAGGCTGAAGTCCTCCGCTGCTCTGACGTCACCGTGCCAATGGAAACACGGGACTCTCTTAAAGGGCCAGCTCACCGTAAACACAGGATCCCCTCAGCCACCGCCTCAGCTGCACCCATTATCGGACACAGCAGGGCATTCCCTTTCGCTTTTCACATACAACCCTTTTATACTATATTGAAAACCATAACATAATTTCTGCATTTTTTACTTTTCATTTTAATAAGGGTCAGTAGCATCAACAAAAGTCTCTTATTATAATGAAAGGAAATTATATCTTTTGATTTTACTGGGGGTTTTTTCCACTAATGGGGCTGCTCAGTGGTGCAGTGGATAGCACTGCTGCCTTGCAGCAAGAAGGATTTGGGTTCGATTCCTGGCCCGGGGTCTTTCTGCATGGAGTTTGCATGTTCTCCCTGAGCATGCGTGGGTTCTTTCTGGGTACTCTGGCTTCCTCCCACAGTCCAAAAACATGACTGTTAGGTTAATTGGCTTCTCTTAATTCTCTTTAGGTCTGAGTGTGTTTGTCATGTTTGTCTCTGTGTTGTATGGTGATCTGTCCAGGGTGTACCCCGCCTCTTGCCCATAGACAGCTGAAAATATGCACCAGCACCCCTTGGGATAAGCGAGACAGAAAATGGAAGATTTGAGAAAGCAGATAATTGAAGAACAATCATTATGGCCCATCATACACAATATGTTGGAATCCTCTTTATTTTTTACTGCATAGGATAAACTCATCACGGTGCAAAGTAATAAAAAATTAAAATATTAAAAAGCAAATAAATTGAGAAGATAGTATTTTGAATTATGTCATTTATCTGATAGAATCATCTAGTTTTGGTGGTTACCAGGAGAACGGTACTGGTATGACAGCTCTATGCCAGGTGTAAAGTTTGGTGGAGGGAGGATTGTGATATGGGGGTGTTTTTGAATGCTTTTGGACATTTCGGACAGTACCTTCACCCTAATGTTGTCTCCTTCTTCTTTCAATATGACGGTGCAAAGCAAGGCTCATAAATACATGGGTGACAGAGTCTGGTGTGTATGTAATTGACTGGCCAATGGAACACCTTTGGGATGAATTACAGCTGAGAATCAGGCCTTCTTTTCCAACAGCAGTGTGTTTTCTCAAAAATTCAATCCTGGAAGAATGGGCAAAGATTTCCATAAACTCTCCTAAACCTTGCGGACAGCCTTCCCATAGAAGTTAAAGCTGCTCTTGCAGCAAAGGTTGGACCAATATCATATTGAAACCCTATTCAGGCATTCCCACCCTCGGTCCTCAAGGCCCGCTGTCCTGCAGGTTTTAAAAGTTTCCTTGCTCCAGCACAGCTGATTTTAATTGAAAGCTGATTAACAGGCTTTTGGTCTACTGAAATCATTAATCAGCTGTGCTAAAGCAGGGAAACCTCTAAAACCTGCAGGACAGGGGGCCCCGGGGACCAGTTTTAGGGATGCCTGCCACTATGGATTAGGAATGGCATGTGGCTTAAGCTCATACATGATTCAAGGCTGGTAAGTGAATACTGGTGGCAATAAAGTGTACATAGCTGCTACCACAACAAAAATGCTACTACTGCTATACAGCTGTTATTATAATTACTATCTAGAGATCCACCAATCCAATCAGATATCAGCCCCCTACAGTATACTGACTGTATAAATGTTGGATATCGGTTGAATGATGCTGATCCAACATTCTAATCGGTCATATCTTTTTTTCATTAATGTCATAAAGCAATACAGTTAAAATTATCATTGTGAACAATGTTTATGTTAAGCCTGAGGCCCTCATTCAAATGGCATGGTACAGGGTTTATCCATTCAACAGTATCAGCCCAGGTATTGGTATTAAACTGGATCTCTATTACTATCATTACTGCTATTATTTGCAGAGGGGGGAACTTATCTGATGTTACTTTTCAATTGGGTATGTAGAAAAAAAAAAGTATATCACAAATGTTTCCCCCCTACAAGAAGAGTTAGCCCATAAATGGTTGTTGCTAAACAGGGTAGCTTTTAATATCCAAGGATACTGGTGCAAAGTCAAGAGGGAGGAAGACTACTACTGGAGGGAAATACTTTTAAATGTTGGATTACCTTCCTCTTCAACTGTTGTGTGTCGACTGTATTTGACCAGAAAACCATGTCATGAGTTTTTAGTTGTAACAGAAATGCAAAAAAAAAAAAAAAATGAGAAAAATTGGCAAGGGGGGTAAAGCTAGTTTTATAGTTTTAGAAACTATTCATAATATTCCAATGAGACCAACAAAATATGCTTGTGGGTTGCAGCAGAACTCAGAAATGGTAATTTTTAAAGTTTCACTAAAAATGACTGCAAAATTAACTGAGAACTTTCAGTTTTCCCAGTTCAAGTTTTCCAAATCTCATATGGTGGGTGTAAATAAAAGCATGTCACCCACGGTATTCATTTCCTCATTCAATAAATTCCTTCAGGCGGTTTTTATGTCATCCAACCATTTAATATGCAAAACAGTACTGACATCAATTTAAGCTCATGTGTTTTTGTGCTTCACTGCATGGGAATATTAACTTATTAACTAATAAACTTTGCAGCATTAATTAGTCAATTGAGCCCTAAAGCGAAACTACTGCCTGAAGTCAGTTACGCTCACCAAACAGAACACAGAACCTTCAGCACCACTACTTAGTTTAGGGATTTTGCCTTCAAGTCAATGAGTCGATCTAATCAACTGGTTTTCCTTAGATAAAACATTTTAAACCAATTTAACTGTATTATCTGGTTGAATTGTAAAAAGCCTTGAGATGACTTGTGTTGTGAATTGGCGCTATATAAATAAACTGAATTGAATTGAATAACTTAAAAGGTTCAGATTAATGTTTTGATATGTTTAAGAAGGTGGATTATTGAAAATACACAAAACATTTGAAATGTGTGAAAACAAGCTTTGTTACAAAAAAATAGTTAGAGTTGTCAATTGTGGATTTGTTTCACCCTAGAAGTGTAGCTTTGAACTAAACCATTTAGATTAACCTTTGCAGCACAGTTCAGTCATATGAAAACCATCAAAACAAACTGCTGAATCTGGTAACATAAAAACAAGGCTATTACAAGTAATTCCCGTGTTTTCTTGCAGGTCAGGAGGACTGTATGATTCTGTAGCTAATGACCATCCAGCTGTTCAAAGACACCACTGGGTACCGTGGTCATCCTCAGACTTTAGCTACTTTTATTTAAGATAGTGAGTGTGGGTGTGTGTGTGTTGGGGTAGTCATGGCTAACAAAGAGTCTATGAAGAGAGCTAAGAGATTATCACCCAAATGAGAGTGCTCACAGCTGTGCTTGGCATAGGAAAGAGATGGGTGTGGGTTGTTGTTGGTGTGGGTGTGTTTCTGTGTGTGCGGTGGTGGTGGTGGTGGGGGGTGGGGGGTGGGGGGGGGGGGAATAACCACTGAGAGCTTTAATTAAACACAGCTCTGTAAACAATCTAAATATGATAATATCTCTTCAGCCCAGTGTCATCCCAGCTCCCTCTGCAGCAAATTAAGAAGCATTAGATCTCAGTGAGCTGCATAAACTTCAAGAATAATTTAGCATCTCATTGCCTTTCTTAGATTGTTTTTAGTTATCCAACTGACTTTTCACTTTTATTACAGTCACAGTAAAAAAATGAAGAAAAAAAAAATAAAAATAAGTAAAACAGGACATCCAATGGCAGTCTATATGCTTGTCAACTTTAGCAACATCAGGAAAAAATTGTTTGATGGGATGAACGAAATAAAAATTGTGGAAAATACCTTTCAAATTTCATGTAAAATAAAGTTTAAAAATGTTATGTTTGAATGAATGAATAGAACTTTAATGATCTGATAATGGAAAAATTTGCTTGTGACATCGGTCCTCATAAACAAACAGAAGGAGCACAAAGGAGGAGGAAAAGGTGCATAAAGTATATAATTACAGTGCATCTAGATATATACAGTGGATGGTATAAAAATAAAGGAGAGATTTAATGTGACTTATATATACAGTGTGTTATGTACAGTAAAGTGGTGGCAGGGAAAGTGTAGTTTTGTTAGAAATAATACATTTCTTCCCACTCACTATGACCTAAATTATTTAACATTCAGTTTCCATGATTGGAACAATTTATTCAGCTTTTCCAACAAGCATTGTCTTGTTAAATCCTGACTCAGTTTTCATGTCTTTCTTTTTCATTTGGTATCTTCATTTTCATCTTATTGGGTCTCAACAGGATCTAACACTGTATGGACTATAGCCCTCAGGCAGAGGACTTTCAAAGCAACTGAAAACTTACTGGAAACTTTTTGCTTGGTCGACCCGGCATGTTCATCCTGAGAGCTGACTGCAAGATGCTAAAAGAGGTCACAAGTTTAACTTTCATCTGAAGAATATGAGCGAGAATCTTGTCCATCTCACATAAAATAGGTTGCGAAAATCTGCTAAAATGTCATCACAGGACCTATAACATCCACCAAAATCGTGAAGCTAAAGTAGAATTGGGTCCTGCTACACAATGACCACAATCATATCAGTAAACCCATTAAGGACTGCCTGAGAAAAAAGAAAACATAACAAATCCTGAGCTGTGTCAAAAGCAGCACACATAATTCTGACTAGAATTATTTGGCAGCTTGTGTGGAGATAAATAACTGATTTCTTTATTATTCCAAATCTATCACTAACACCTAATCATATCCAACCTAAAAGTAAATTAGTTCTATCTTTTTTTTTATTAGTTTTTAATTTAAAATTAGTTAATGTATTGTGGTGGTACATCAAATATATCATAATGCTTTTGATCAGAACAAGGTAGCTGTCTCAACTTGCAAGAACTCTCTGGAAATTCATCATTAGACTGGAAGAAGAACCACATTAAAACACTACTGATTTCACAAAATATAAAAGCACTCAATCCTCTTTCACTTCCAGAGTTTTATAAGTAATGACACAATAATCACCTTGAGTGGTCTAATTTTTGATCTAATTTAAATGTTGC